CGCTTTGCCCATGTTACATCAGGGTGGAATTGATTTTGAATGAATTTTAGCTATCAATCTAAAGACTGCATCTATCGTCAGAAAATATTTACTTACAAATAAAGAGGTGCTAATTTTACAAAATTTACTTGTATTGTTTAAAGCCGATACCACATCGCACGACTATGTCTTTTGTTTACAAATTATTATCCACGACTGGCAGGATGCTTGTCGGTCGGTACATAAGTATAATAACAATATGACAATAGTCTGACGCGTTTCCGTGGTGGTCGCTAATTTTGAGTGCCGGTCGGGCCGACCAGCGTGACGAAATCCCCAATGAAAAAAGCACTGTGGTGGTCTTGCTAATCACCGTGGCGGTGTCAGACCGGTGTGGCGGCAAATCGAAGCACTGTGGCGGGACCGCCACGCTGTTTACATCCTGGGGAGAACACTGAACAAACTTCAATAATACCAAACATACATTCAACAGACTTGTACAGAATGTATAATTTTTTGACAACTGAACAGAGCTATATGTTAGCAGTACTGTCATCATTTATTGATTTTTATATTCTCAGTTTACTTAAAAGGATTAACATATTATTGTATATGATTAAAATTGTATACCGGATCAACAAAATTACTTTTGTATTTTTGGAAAGCTACGAAAGTGAACAATATGAATGTGTCACTGGTAGCACAGTGGTTGTTGCTCCAGACTCATGATCGGTAGACCCAAGTTCAAATCCTACCTTAGGCTGAACATCAAATGGTCAACCCCTACCCTGGGTGAGTGTGCCACAGACTCAATGGGAAGGCCAATTCCACTGGCCGAGATTCATTCACTAACGAATGCGACTTTGGGGGAACCTTTGTTAAAGTCCGCAGGTGCTTGTGTTCGACCGAGCCTGGTTGACGCCAGGATAGCGCATTAAAATTGCCATTTGTCAGAGATGGCAACACAGCCCTGTCATGTAGTCCCAAACATGAATATGACTTCTGTGGCAAAATGCACTATGTGTCAGCACTAGCACTTGCAATTTGCATATACAAAAAAAAAAAGGCAGGAGAGACAACGGTGACATTCAATGTCCAGAACTGTCGCCTGGCACAAAAATATTTTTAAAAAAAACAATAAAAAATAAAAAAAACAAAAACAATATGAATGTGCACATTGTTTGTGTAAACACCCCTTTCATTTATCTAAGCGCATATGCTTCTAATAGAGCAATTACTGTATTGCTTTACTTGATGATATGTCTGACTGCCTATTTTTGGTCTAAACATTTAAAACTGCTAGTCTGATTGGTTGGCAACTTGTTATGCCTATAGCCTATTTTCTGAGGAATAAACCTTGAATCATATTCTGTTTATGTATCACAAACAGGAGATCTGGGGTACATTTATGTAATAATAATAATAATTTGTTATTAATGCCTAACGCCTAAATTTAAAACGTTTGCATATGTGAACTACAACGAGAGCTATTATCATATTATTATTACTCATAAAAATTGAAATTTAATTGTACTATTGATTATTTTCACCATCAAAAAATAGTTTTTTTTCTTCCTGTTGAAAAATCTGAGACTTAAGAAAGTGTTGCTGATCAACCACTCAATTACCTTCACACAGACTGCAGACAAACTGCTTGTTATGCACGAAGTTTATGTTCTCACAACCCTTTTAAAATTACACATCCTGGTATTTGTAGATGTCCACTATTCAATCTTTTACTTGTGTACAGTGAAATGAAGAATTAATGAACAATAGAAATGCTAGAAATAACACAGGAAATGGAATCAGCAAGCTTACTGAATTGTACGACCTTAAATAAGGTCGTGTGTATATGATATGTACTTTGACTCTTTTCACCCCCTGTGTCGCTTTACATGTTGCATGTTAGGCGCATATGCAACAACTTGTAGTGAAAAATGGGATCACATTCTTTAGACTGTTTTTCCCTTGTGGCCTTCCTTCATGTAAGTTGTGAGCTCTGTTTACAAAAGAAGCTTGAAGGCAATTCACAACTAAGGGACTGAAATTTAAAAATAAACCTACAATCCTTTTAAAACATTTAAAAAAAATGTACGTCAATTGTCTAATAAAGCTTTTGGGTGTAACTCTTTGAACATTATAGTCAACTATTGTTTCCTTCCACAAAATAAACAAAGTCAGTCACTTGTATTAAGATCTTTTTTTTTTAAACTTGTAAGTACTATAGTATGATAGTATAGTATGATAAAAGTTCTACGCTGAACTATGCAAGCATAATTTGTGTATTGAATTTTGTAGTTGTTCACATGAGGAAAAAATTTTCATATTTGGTTGCCAGGACAACTGCCAATTTCGAAACCCGGTTTGTATAAAATTCTGTGGCAGTTATTGAAGTGCACTAAAGTGTGTATAAATGTATGTACCATAAATCCTTCCATTAGGTAAGACTGTTAGTTTGGATCGCCTGATTTTTGCTGAAACAATATTTTTTTTCTTCTAGCAATAGACACAATTTTTTCATTTCCTGTGGGATCCTATGATGCATGTAAATCAAATGTAAGAACAGGACACATTATTTGTTCATGCTTCAATTAATGAAAGTTATTTCCAGAAGTTAATAGGTGGCATCAATAGTTGTATCAGATTAAATATACTTGTCCTATATTGTTAGTACATTTGTATGTACAGTCTGTAAACATGCATCTCTTTTCATATCAACAGATGGTTATGGAATTTGCCAATCCTGACTTCCTTGAGTGTGATGCTAGCAAGTTTTCCCGGAGTAAGCAAGCTGAAATGCAACAGTTTATTCAAGTAAGTTCATTGAAAATTGTATACATCTAGCGCTAAAAGCAATATATTTCATAAAAAAAAGAACATTTGTATTCATTCAAAATGTATTTGCACTCATTTCAACGTCCAGTGTAATGTTCTTTCCAGGCCTTTTAAACATGGTGGTTTTATAATGCTTTGGCAACTGCAATGTCATGCTTGAAATTTCAAGTAAACAGCGTGTCATATGTTAATTATTTGTATTACAATGCTCATTATGTGTTGGTATTATGCGAATTAGCTTTGAATATTTTCCTGATAATTTATGTCACATTGCAATGCTATATAGCATGCGATGGAAATATAATCCTGGCCACTGAATAGTAGCACATGCACATATTACAGCAAAACATCTTATTGCTGGCTTTTTGGGTTATCGCTCACCAAACTACAATCAGACCCCTTTCATAGTCGCTGATGGTGAATTTTATTTTGATCTTGCTAAAGATAAATTATGACATTTTGGCACCAATGGTTAAGGTAGCGAGAAGGTTTTGTGACGTTTTTAAATAAAACATTCTCTGTCTGTTGTCTCGTTCAGAACAGTAATTTAGGTTATATATATCAAAAGACTAAGTATAGAGGTGCAAGTTCGCACAAACTGGACAGACATTGTTTACATAATTATCACGTGACATCAAAAATGGCGAACCTTGTAAAAATGACTAAGTACGCGATTGCGAGAGCACACTGCGGAATTTCCTGGTGAAATTTACGTCATGCATTGTCCGTAATCAAGTCCATTGAAACGCGTCTTCGATAATCAAAAGACCTATTATTCCGATTTCTATGCAGGTTTGTTTTTTTGTTCCCAAATTATTTCATACTTGGCACCTTTAAC